AATCGATTTTTCGAATTTTCGAATTCTCGATTTTTCTTTTTTCATCATTTTGATTTTTCGATGTTTCGGTTTCTTGAATTCTTATTGTTACAGTTTTTGATTTTTTCAGGTTTTCGATTCTTTAATTTTTCTTCGCTTTTTCAATTTATCCATTGATCAGTTTTTCAGTTCAGCAATTTTTTTGATAATTAAATTTTTTAATTTTCTAAATTTTACATTTTTCGATTTCTTGATATTTCGATGATTCGGTTTCTTGATTTCTCGATTTTTAATTTTTTGATTATTCAATTTTTAGATTTTTCAGGTTTCTGATTTTGCAATTTTAGATTTTTGGATTTTTGGACTTTTTGAATCCTCGATTTTCAATTTTTCGATATCTAGGTTTTTGATTTTTCAATTTTTCTTCACTTTTTCAATTTATCGATTGACCCATTTTGTTTGATATTTTAATTTTTTAATTTCCTAAATTCTAGATTTTTCGAGTTCTTGACTTCTCGTTGTTTGATATTTCAATTTTCCATTTTTCAATTTTTCATTTTTTCGATTTAGAATTTTCGAATTTTCAATTTATTTCCTTTTCGATTCCTTAATTCTTCCCTTCTTAAATTCTTCGATTTTTAGAATTTTCAATTTTTGATGTTTTAATCCAAATATCGAAAAATCGATACTTAAAAATTGAAAATTGATGAAGTTAAAATTTCGATTTTCCAGTGTCTAGATTTTTGATTTTCTAAATATTCGATTTAACAATTTTCACATCAATGGACAAACTGGCAATTTTAAAGATCGAAAAATTAGGGAAACTGAAAAATAAAAAATCAAGAATATGGAAAATTAAAGTTAGAAAACCTGAAAATTTCTATGGTTATTTTTTAATTTTGATTAATTTTTTCTTTAATTTTATTATATAATCGAACATTGAATGTATCGATTTTCGTTCATTGAAAATTGAAATTAAAAATTCTAAAGATCGAAAAATCAAAGAACTTAAAAATTCAAAATGCTAAACTGACGAAAGAAGAGAGTGACAAATCGATAACTTCATAAATCAAAAGTTAGAAAATTTAGATTTTTCAAGTTTTAATGATTACATTTTTCGATTTTTCAAATTGTCTATTTTGGTTTTCTAATTATTCGATTTTAGAATTTTGAGTTGAATCGAAAAACTGGATAATTTTAAAAATCGAAAAATCGAAGAACGAAAAAATGAGGAACTTGAAAAATTAAAAACCAAGAATTGGAACAGTTAAACTAGAGGAAAAGAAAATTTCAATGATTAATTCTTAACTTTCGTTAATTTAATTTTAAAATTAATTATCCGATTTTACTTTCCGTTTCTCGAATCTAATTTTTCAAATATTCTATTTTTCGAACTTTAAATTTTTGAATTTATTAATTTGTCATTTTTCGATTTTTTATTCTATAAATTTTCCAACTTTTCGATTTTTCCAAGAAAACAGCTTATTGTGATGTACAGTTTTAGATTTTTTCGGTTTTTCGATTTTCAAATTTTTCTTCGCTTTTTCAATTTATCCATTGATCATTTTTTCAATTCAGCAATTTTTTTGATAATTTAAATTTTTAATTTTCTAAATTTTAGATTTTTCGATTTCTCGAGATAAACACTGAAGTGCCCCCCCCTGCCCTATTTTCTTCGTGATCCTTCATTTTATTGGACGAAAAGTGGATTTTATATTAATAAATAGTAGAATCTAAACAAAAAAGGTAAAATTTGCCCCAACCACCTCCTCTTTTCCACTTCATTGACTTTTTTTATGTGCTTTGAGATATCTTAATCGATTTTTCGACTTTTCAAATTCTCGATTTTTCAACTACTCCTTTTCAACATTTTGATTTTCCCATTTTTCGATTTCTTGATGTTTCGATGTTTCTTGATTTTTCGATTTTCAGGTTTTTGATTTTTTAATTTTTTGATTATTCAATTTTTAGGTTTTTCAGGTTTCTCATTTTTCAATTTTTAGATTTTTGGATTTTCGGACTTTTCGAATCTTCGATTTTCAATTTTTCGATATCTAAGTTTTTTATTTTTCAATTTTTCTTTGCTTTTTCAATTTATCGATTGACCAGTTTTCTAATTCAGCATTTTTTTTATATTTTAATTTTTTAATTTCCTAAATTTTAGATTTTTCAAGTTCTTGACTTTTCGTTGTTTGATATTTCAATTTTCCATTTTTCAATTTTTCGTTTTTTAAATTTTCATTTTTCTATCTTTCAGTTTTACCAATTTTTCGATTTTTTGATTTTTTCATTTTTAAATTTTTTGTGTTTGCGATTTTTTGTATTTTCGATTTTAAATTTTCGAATTTTCAATTTATTTCCTTTTCGAATTCTTAATTCTTCCCTTCTTAAGTTCTTCGATTTTTCGAATTTTCAAGTTTTGATGTTTTAATCCAAATATCGAAAATTGACGAAGTTAAAATTTCGATTTTCCAATGCTCAGATATTTCCATTTTTAATTTTCAGTTTTTTATTATTACATTTCTCGATATTCCAATGTCTCGACTTTTGATTTTCTAAATCCTCCATTTTACAATTTTCACATCAATCGACAAACTGGCAATTTTAAGGCTCGAAAAATTAGGGAAACTGAAAAATAAAAAATTAAGTATGTGGAGAATTAAAATTAGAAAACCTGAAATTTCTATGGTTAATTTTCAATTTTGATTAATTTTTTCTTTAATTTTATTATATAATCGAACATTAAATTTATCAATTTGGTAATTTTCAAATATAATGCTAAACTGACGAAAGGAGAGAGTGACAAATCGATGACTACATAAATTGAAAGTTAGAAAATTTCGATTTTTCAATTTTTCATTTTTTGATTTTCTAGTTATTCGATTTTAGAATTTTCAGTTGAATCGAAAAACTGGATAATTTGAAAAATCGAAAAATTGAAGAACGAAAAAATGGGGAACTTGAAAAATTTATTTTTAAAATTAATTATCCGATTTTACTTTCAGTTTTTCGAATCTAATTTTTCAAATATTCTATTTTCCGAATTTTCAATTTTTTAATTTATTAATTTGTCATTTTTCGATTTTCTATTGTTTACATTTTCCAATTTTTCAATTTATCCATTGATCTGTTTTTCAATTCAGAAACTTTTTTGATAATTTAACTTGTTAATTTTCTAAAATTTAGATTTTTTGATTTCTCAAGATAAACATTGAATTCCATTGTCAAAAGGTCGAATCTACACTTAAAAACTTACAAAGTGCCCCACCCACCCACCCTGTTTTCTTCGTGATCATTCATTTTATTGGACCAAAAGTGGATTTTATATTAATAAATAGTGGAATCTAAACAAAAATGGTAAAATTTGCCCCAACTACCTCCTCTTTTCCAATTCATTGAATTTTTGTTTCTACTTTGAGATATTTGGTTAATCGATTTTTCGACTTTTCGAATTCTCGAATTTTCAACTACTCTTTTTCAATATTTTGATTTTCCCATTTCTCGATTTCTTGATAATTTTTGATGTCTTGATGTTTCGGTCTCTGGATTTCTCGATTTTTAATTTTTATTTTTTTGATTGTTCAATTTTTAGACTTTTCAGGTTTCTGATTTTTTCAATTTTTAGATTTTTGAATTTTTGGACTTTTCGAATCCTCGATTTCCAATTTTTCGATATCTAAGTTTTTGATTTTTCAATTTTTCTTCGCTTTTTCAATTTATAGGTTGACCCGTTTTTCAACTCAGCATTTTTTTGATATTTTAATTTTTTAATTTCCTAAATTCTAGATTTTCCGAGTTCTTGGCTTCTCGTTGTTTGATATTTCAATTGTCCATTTTTCAATTTTTCGTTTTTTAAATTTTCATTTTACTATCTTTCAGTTTTGTCAATTTTTCCATTTTTTAATTTTTTCATTTTTGATTTATTTTTGTTTGCGATTTTTCGTATTTTCGATTTTAAATTTTCGAATTTTCAATTTATTTCCTTTTCGATTTCTTAATTCTTCCCTTCTTAAGTTCTTCGATTTTTCGAATTTTCAAGTTTTGATGTTTTAATCCAAATATCGAAAATTGACGAAGTTAGAATTTCGATTCAAATGCTCAAATTTTTCAATTTTTAATTTTCAATATTTTATGATTACATTTTTCGATATTCCAATGTCTAGATTTTTGATTTTCTAAACGATTTCGATTTAACAATTTTCACATCAATCAACAAAGTGGCAATTTTAAAGATCGAAAAATTAAGGAAACTGAAAAATAAAAAATCAAGTATGTGAAGAATTAAAATTAGAAATCCTGAAAATCTCTATGGTTAATTCTTTGTTTTGATTTCTTTTTTCTTTAATTTCATTATATAATCGAACATTAAATTTATCGATTTGGTAATTTTCAAATATTCCGATTTTTTAATTTTTCGATTCAAAATTTTTCGCTCATTGAAAAATTGAAATTAAAAATTCTAAAGATCGAAAAATCAAAGAACTTAAAAATTCACAATGCTGACGAAAGGAGAGAGTGACAAATCGATAACTTCATAAATCGAAAGTTAGAAAATTTGGATTTTTCAATTTTTAATGACTACATTTTTCGATTTTTCAAATTTTCAATTTTGATTTTCTAATTATTCGATTTTAGAATTTTCAGATGAATCGAAAAACTGGATAATTTGAAAAATCTAAAAATTGAAGAATCTAATTTTTCAAATATTCTATTTTTCGAACTTTAAATTTTTGAATTTATTAATTTGTCATTTTTCGATTTTTTATTCAATAAATTTTCCAATTTTCCGACTTTTCCAAGAAAACAGCTTATTGTGATGTACAGTTTTTGATTTTTTCGGTTTTTCGATTCTTTAATTTTTCTCCGCTTTTTCAATTTATCCGTTGATCAGTTTTTCAGTTCAGCAATTTTTTTGATAATTTAATTTTTTAATTTTCTAAATTTTAGATTTTTTGATTTCTGAAGATAAACATTGAATTCCATTGTCAAAAGGCTTCAGACCCAACAAAACAACCCTCGTTCCAAAAATTTATTGTCCAAACAATCACAAAAACAAAAACTCGACTCTTAACAAAAACACAGCACCAACTCTTCAGTCAACCGAACAACAAACTCTTCACTTCTTGCCTCCTCGGCTTCCCGTCCAGCGTGTAGGGAATTTCACTGACAATCATCACGCCGGCCCGAAGTTGCTGTTTGTTGCTCAAAATCGAGTTGGCATATTCTTCCAGATCTTGTTCCGTCACTCTGCCCTTCATCCCTTTGTTCAAACTAACAATTCCCATCGGTTTTTCGCCCATGAGCACGTTCCTGTGCGGTTTCCCAATGACAACTGCGTCTTTGACAGCTACGTGCGATCTAAGGACGGCCTCGACAATCGAAGGTACGATGTGCCAGCACTTGTACTGGAAAACGTCTTCGTAGGGGCCCAGCACGAAAATGCAGCGTCTTTCGTCGTACATCGCGATTTGGCCGCTTTTACACCAGCCTTTGGCGTCGGAATTGGACGACTCTTCTTTGAAATGGTCGTTGATTTTGAAGTCGGCTTTGTAGCGGAGTTCGCCGGCGGTGTTGGCGCTGAGGGTCATTTCGGTGATGGGGTCCACGATCTGTATTGTTTTGGAATTGAAGCACACAAAATTATTTAAAAAAATTGTTTACCTTGATTGTTATTCCAGGGAATAATTTTCCACAAGAGGTGGGTTTCTGGTATTGATCTCTTATGTCAACTGGTTTGTTGTAGTTGTACATAGACAAGGCTCCACCGACCTCCGGGTTTTGGTAAATGTTGGTGATAAAACAAAAAGGGAAGCGTTTTCTTAATTCCAGTAAGGATACTCGTCTTAAGGACGTCCCTGTAGTTACCAACATTTTTAAGCTTTTGCCGGTCACAGCTTCCGGTGTTTCGTTTGTGTATAACTCGCAGACTTCCTGAGTAGTACAGATGATAAACGAGACCTGTATTTATAATTTTTTCGTTAGACTAACCAACCACAACGTTCAAAACGTAACATTTAAAAAAATTTTTGTAGATTTCGATTTCAGCATTTTCGGTTACAATACTTTTGAAAATCCCTGCTAGAAAACTCAGTAACACGTAAATCCCTATGACCAGTGTTAAAAAAGACACCGTACCGGGTGATTTCGAAATGCGTGCAATAAAAATATTGTGTCAAGTTCACGTTTCTAAAGGTCTAGAAAAAATTATTTGGAATTAAAAATAAAATGTTATACACGCCACTGGTAGTGTTTATTGATATACCATTACATATTTCGGAGCAAAATTTAGCTTTTTTCTAGTTTTATGAACAAGCAGTAGCCCCGCCCACCCACCTCTTTTTCGATCCAGTGACTACTCTTCATATTGTTCAGTCCTATGTTAGCAAGTTATAGTCCGCAGTCTTCCATTTTTTTTATTTTTAAAATTTTTCGATTTTTCAATATTTCAATTTTTGGCATTTCTGTATGTATTTTCGATTTTTCGATTAAATCATTTTTCGGCTTCAATTTCTCGATTTTTGGACTTTTCGACTTTTTTCGATATTTTGATTTTCTCATTTCTCAATTTTTCCATTTTCAGATTTTCAATTCTTCAATAATTCGTTTTTCAATTTTTCGATTTTTTGATTTTTTGATTTTTCAGTTTGAAGATTTTCGATTTTTCAATTTTTCAATATTTCAGTTTTTCTATGTTTCAATTTTGGAATTTTTCAGTTTATTTAATTTTCTATTTTTCAGTTTTTACATTTTTCGAATCTTCAGTTTTATCAATTTTTGGATTCCTCGATTTATTGAGATTTCGATGTTTCGAGCTTTCGATTTTTTCTTAAATAAAAATTTTTCAATTTTTCAAATATTCCTTTTTCGATTTTTTAGATTTCTGGATTTTTCAGTTTATCGCTTTTTCGACGTCTCGATGTTTTCGTTTTCCAATTGCTCAATGTTTCGAATTTTCGATTTTGCGGTTTCTCGATTTTTCGATTCCCCAGTGTTTTGATATTTCGATTTCTCAATTTTTCGAATTCCCAATTTTTCTACAATCCACTTTTGGGATTTTTCAATTTTTTAGATTATAGATTTTTCTGTTCTCCGGTTTCTCGTTCTTTAGATTTTTCAGTTTTTCAATTTTTCGGTTTTACGATCTTTTAATTTTTTAATAGGTACATCAAATTTTCGATTTTTCAATTTTTCGATTTCTCAGCTTTTCAACACCCCAGTTTTGGGAATTTTTTTCAATTTCTGGATTTTACAATTTTTCAATATTTTAATTTTAGATAATTGTGGGTTCGTCGATTTTTCGACTTTCGGATTTTTGATTTTTCAAGTTTTCAATTGCTGAAACTTTGATTTTTCGATATTCAAATTTTTTTAATTTCGAGTTTTCATTTTCAATTTTCGAATTTTTTATTTTTCGTTTTTTCGTTTCAAATGTTCGGTTTTCCAATTTCTCGAATTTTCGATTGTTCGATATTCGAATTTTCAACTGTTTCCTTTTCAATCACTCGATTTTTCAATTTTTCAGTTCTTCGATTTTTCAATTTTTCGATTTTTCGACCTTAATTTTTGATATTTTGAATTTTCTGTTTTTAAATTTTTCATTTTTCAGTTTTTCGATTTCTACATTATTTTACTTCGAAACCTTGAAAAATAAAAGAGAATAAAAACGAGTTCGAAATCGAAAAGCTGAAAAACTGAAAAACTGAAAATTGAAAAATTTAAAATCAAGAAGGTGAGATTTCAAAAAAGAGCTAAATCAAAACATTGAAAAATAGAAAAGCTGAGAAATCTAAAAATTGAAAAACCGAAAAACGAAATATTGAAAAAGCAAAAATCGAAAAACTTAAAACTCGAAAAATCCAAAAATCGAAAAAGTGCAGAACTGTAAAACTGAAAAATCTAAGTCACTAAATTCAAGAATTAAAAATTGAGAAATCAAAAAGTGGTTATCTATTATCTGTATATAGATAAAATCAAAGCTAAGCACCAAATATCTATATCTAGATAAAAAATAAATACCACAGAGACATTTTCGATTTTTTAATTTTTGGCGTTTCTAAATTTTCAGTTTTGCGATTTTTCGATTTCTTGATTTCTCGACTTAATTTCAATTTCTTGATTTTTCAGTTGTTCGATTTTTCAATGTTTCGATGTTTTTAGTTTTGGAATTTTTCAGTTTTTCATTTTTTCTTCGATTTTTCAACTTTTCGATTTTTGGATTTATCAATTTTTCGGAATTTCAGTTTTCGAATTTTTCAATTTTTCCATTTTTTAAACTTTACATTTTTCAATTTTACGATTTTTTCGATTTCTTAATTTTGAAATTTTTTAACACTGCAATTTTTTGATTTTCCGATTTTTGGACATCTCGGTTTATGGATTTTTAAAACTATTATAAGACTTCGATTTCCAAATTTCACGATTGTTCAAGTTTTGGATTTCTCAATTTTTCGAAGTCTCAGTTTTTTAAATTATACATTTTTTCGACTTTTTGAGTTTTCGATTTTTCGATTTTTGGACATTTCAATTTTGAAGTTTTTCGGTTTTTTCATTAAAGTTTTGATTTTTCCATTTCACAATTTTTCGAAGTTTCAGTTTTTTAATTTAAATTTTTTCGACATTTTGATGTTTCGATCTTTCGATTTTTAGACTTTTCCTTTTTCAAATTTCGATTTCTCAATTTTTCAATATGCATTTCAGTTTTGGGGTTTTCGGATCTTTTAATTCTTCAATTTTTGATTTTTCCGTTTCTTGATTATTCAGTTTCTCAATTTCCCATTTTTTCGAAGTTTCAGTTTTTTAAATTATAGATTTTTTTTCGACTTTTTTAATTTTTCAGTTTCTCAATTTCTCAATTTTTCGAAGTTTCAGTTTTTTAAATTATATTTTTTTCGACTTTTTGATCATTCGATTTTTTGACTTCTCCTTTTTCAACTTTCGATTTCTCAATTTTTCGATGTTTCAGTTTCCGGATTTTTCGGTTATTTTTTATTTCTCCATTTCGTGATTTTCTAGTTTTTCAATTTCTCGATTTTCATTTTTCAAATATTTTTCGATTTTTCAACTTTTCAATTTTTCGATTTATCAATTATTCGAAATTTCAGATATAAGACTTTCCAGTGTTTAGATTTCTCGACTTTTTGATTTGTCGATTTTTCAGTTTTTAAATTGTTTCGATGTTTCACTTTTGGAACTCTTAAATTTTTCAACTTTTCAATTTTTTTCGATTTCTGAATATTTCGATTTTCCGATTTATCAATTTTTCGGAATTTCAGTTTTAGGATTTTTCAATTTTTCGATTTTTATAATTTCTAGTTTTTCGATATTTCGGGTTCTCGATCTCTCGACTTCTTAATGTTTCGATTTCCCGACTTTTCGATTCGTCGATTTTTCAGTTTTTCGATTTTTTCGATGCAGGATTTTTTTATTTTTGAATTTTTCTTCGATTTTTCAACTTTTCGATTTTTCGCTTCATCAATTATTCGAAATTTCAGTTTTATGACTTCCCACTGTTTCGATTTCTCGGCTTTTTGATTTGTCAATTTTTCAGTTTTTAGATTGTTTCGATGTTTCACTTTTGGATTTTTTTTAATTTTTCAATTTTGCATTTTTTTTTTCGATTTCTGAATTTTTAGATTTTCCCATGTATCAATTTTTCGGAATTTGAGTTTAAGGATTTTTCAATTTCTCGATTTTTAATTGAAAAATCTGGTTTTTCAATATTTCGATTTGTCGATTTTTCAGTTTTTAGATTCTTTCGATGTTTCACTTTAGGAATTTTTTAATATTTCCGTTTTTTCGACTTTTCGATTTTTCAGTTTTTCGATTTTTTCGATGCAGGATTTTTTTTATTTGTAAATTTTTCTTCGATTTCTCAACTTTTCGATTTTCCGATTTATCAATTATTCGAAATTTCAGTTTTAGGACTTTCCAATATTTCGATTTCTCGACTTTTTGATTTGTCGATTTTTCAGTTTTTAGATTGTTTCGATGTTTCACTTTTGGAATTGTTATATTTTTCAATTTTCCAATTTTTTCGATTTTTGAACTTATCGATTTTTCGATTTATCAATTTTTCGGAATTTCAGTTTTAGGATTTTTCAATTTTTCGATTTTTAAAATTTCTAGTTTTTTTTTATTTCGATTTCTCGACTTTTCGAGATGTCGATTTTTTTTTAATAATAATAAATGGAGCTTTATTCCAACAGACAATTAGTCCATAGTGGAAACAAATAACATAACAAAAGTATTCAGAGGAAAAAAAACATTAAAAATATAAATCTTACTAAACTTAAACTAGATAAAGGAGTAAACAAATTGCAAAATAACATAAACGAGAATATACATACAAAGAAAACAACAGAATTACACATTCTTCTAATCTTAAACAGTTTTAAAAATTTTTCAATTTTTCGAATTTTTCGATGCAGGAATTTTTTTATTTTTCAATTTTTCTTCGATTTTTCAACTTTTCGATTTTTCGCTTCATCAATTATTCGAAATTTCAGTTTTATGACTTCCCACTGTTTCGATTTCTCGGCTTTTTGATTTGTCAATTTTTCAGTTTTTAGATTGTTTCGATGTTTCACTTTTGGATTTTTTTTAATTTTTCAATTTTGCATTTTTTTTTTCGATTTCTGAATTTTTAGATTTTCCCATGTATCAATTTTTCGGAATTTGAGTTTAAGGATTTTTCAATTTCTCGATTTTTAATTGAAAAATCTGGTTTTTCAATATTTCGATTTGTCGATTTTTCAGTTTTTAGATTCTTTCGATGTTTCACTTTAGGAATTTTTTAATATTTCTGTTTTTTCGACTTTTCGATTTTTCAGTTTTTCGATTTTTTCGATGCAGGATTTTTTTTATTTGTAAATTTTTCTTCGATTTCTCAACTTTTCGATTTTCCGATTTATCAATTATTCGAAATTTCAGTTTTAGGACTTTCCAATATTTCGATTTCTCGACTTTTTGATTTGTCGATTTTTCAGTTTTTAGATTGTTTCGATGTTTCACTTTTGGAATTGTTATATTTTTCAATTTTCCAATTTTTTCGATTTTTGAACTTATCGATTTTTCGATTTATCAATTTTTCGGAATTTCAGTTTTAGGATTTTTCAATTTTTCGATTTTTAAAATTTCTAGTTTTTTTTTATTTCGATTTCTCGACTTTTCGAGATGTCGATTTTTTTTTAATAATAATAAATGGAGCTTTATTCCAACAGACAATTAGTCCATAGTGGAAACAAATAACATAACAAAAGTATTCAGAGGAAAAAAAAACATTAAAAATATAAATCTTACTAAACTTAAACTAGATAAAGGAGTAAACAAATTGCAAAATAACATAAACGAGAATATACATACAAAGAAAACAACAGAATTACACATTCTTCTAATCTTAAACAGTTTTAAAAATTTTTCAATTTTTCGAATTTTTCGATGCAGGAATTTTTTTATTTTTCAATTTTTCTTCGATTTTTCAACTTTTCGATTTTTCGATTTTGCGAATTCTCAATTTTTTAATTTTTGGCGTTTCTGTCAATTTTGCGATTTTTAGATTTCTTGATTTCTCGACTTTTCGATTTCTTGATTTTACAGTTTTTCGATTTTTCATTTTTCAATGTATTTAGTTTTGAAATTTTTCAATTTTTCAACTTTTCCATTTTTCGATTTAATAATTTTTCGGAATTTCGATTTTAGCATTTTTTAATTTTTCGATTTTTAAAATTTCTGCTTTTTCAACTTTTCGATTTCTCGATCTCTCGACTTTTTAATGTTTCAATTTCTCGATTTGTCGATCTTTCAGTCTTTCGATTTTTTCGATGTCTGGATTTCTCGACTTTTTGATTTATCGATATTTCAGTTTTTAGATTGTTTCGATGTTTCACTTTTGGAACTTTTTAATTTTTCAATTTTGCAAATTTTTTTCAATTTTCGAACTTTTCGATTTTCCGATTTATCAATTTTTCGGAATTTCAGTTTTAGGATTTTTCAATTTTTCGATTTTTAAAATTTCTAGCTTTTTGATATTTCGATTTCTCGATCTCTCGACTTCTTAATGTTTCGATTTCTCGACTTTTCGATTTTTCGTTTTTTTTTGGATGTTTCACTGCATAAATTTTTTAATACTCCAGTTTTTCGATTTTTCTTCGATTTTTCGATTTATCTAAGGTGGGAATCGAACCTCACGTCACCCGCTTGCCGGGCAGGTATCCTGACCACTAGACTACGAGGCCGCTTATCTTTCTCCGCTTACCAACGTGTTATTGTGCCGCCACAGTACTGACAGATCAAGTAACTTATGGACAATAAAGTGTATTTATCAATTTAATTATTTTTTTATAAACAAAACTAGACACTTTCAGAACCACCTGAAAGAACATGCCAGACAATTTAAACACCCAATTCCCACCACCTTTAAAGCCAGCCTAATAAACCACGTCGCATAATTCTGCCGCAGTCTCCCTCGAAAACCCAAACAATTGGCAAAATTCCACACACTCACGTCATATTTATCCACGAGCTTCCAAGTAGTCGCAGGTTCAAACTTCTCGCACACAACCCTCGTTATCCCCGTCATCGTGCTACAAATAAGCAGCGTCAACGCCGTCAGCGTGTGAAAACTCCCGAACCCCATGGCCACCTTAAACCCCTCCCCCAGGTGCCAGCACTCCGCCGCGTGCACCGTCTGCACCAAGAGGGTGTAGTAGCTCAAGCACACCCCCTTCGGGGGCCCCGACGACCCCCTACTGAACAAAATCACCGCAGTCTGGTGAAGATCTCCAATCGGCAACGGTTTGAATGCGGGCTCGTCGTCCGTTTCCTCCACGAGAGTGTCGAACTCGATGAAATCCTCGACGTACGAAGAGCCGAACACGACCACGGCGCAGTCGATGTCCACTTCGTCGATTGCGTCCACCATTAACTTGAGGCCTTCGTTGCAGACGAACATGATTCTAGGGCGGATTTTGTTTAGGATGTGGATGGCGTCGTCGAGGGGGAGGGAAGGGTCGAGGTTGGCCACGGGGAGGCCGAGGAGGAAGCCGGAGATGACGGGGATGGAGCTGTCGAGGTGGTTGACGCTGCACTGGCAGATGGTGTCGTCTTTGGTGATGCCCATGTGGAGAAGGTTGAAGCATACGCGGGAGCTGCGGAGTAGGAGGTCGTCGTAGGTGTAGGAGGTGTTGGTCGTGGGGTCGATCTGGGGGAGATATAAAAATGACAAGAGGGCGTCGACTTGGCAACACCTATTAATGGATTTTACTCGAAAACTAGCAAATTTTTAAGTTTAAATTTTTCAGTTTTTCCATTTTCCAACGTTTAAATTTTTCAGATTTTAGATTTTTTACAATTTTTCGATTGGAAATTTTCAATTTTTCATTTTTTTTTGTTTCTTCAACTTTTAAGTTCTGCATTCCTTCGATTTAAAATTTTTTGATTTTTCGATTCTTAAATTTTTGATTTTTTCAAAATTTCGATATGCAATTTTTCGATTCTTCAATTTTTCGCAAAAATTTTTATTTTCTTCCTTTTCCAATTTTTTGGATTTCAGTGCTGTTTTTATAATTTTTCTTCTTTTCAATTCAATTGATTTGTAGTTTTTCTAGTTTTCATTTTAAATATGTAATAATAATTATAACTTTTACAGAGGTTTCACTTTTTCAATTTTACAATTTTACAATTTTCCAGTTTTACAATTAATAGATTTTCAAACATTTTCATTTATTCGATTTTTCAATTTTTCTATTTTAAATTTAATTTGCAATTTCAAGAGTTTTCAATTTTTAAATTTTCAATTTTCATGTCTTCAATTTTTCGATTTGCAATTTTCAATTTTTCATTTTTTTCTTCAAATTTTAAATTCTGCAGTATTTCGATTTAAAATTTTTTGAGTTTTCAGTTTTTAAGTTTTCGATTTTTCGATACTTTAATTTTTGATTTTTTCAAAATTTCGATTTTTCAATTTTTCTATTCTTCAATTTTTCGTTTCGCAAGTTTTCAATTTTTTTTGTTGCTTCAGTTTTATATATTTTTTGTTTTCCGATTTTCCAACTTTTGGATGTTTAAAAATTAGATTTTGCAATTTTTCCACTTGAAATTTCCCGGATTTCTCAATATTTAATTTTTCAATTCTTAGATTTTTCAATTTTTCATGTTTTCAATTTTTCATTACAATTTTTATTTTCTTCTTTTTCCAATTTTTTCGATTTCACTGCTGTTTTTATAATTTTTCTTCTTTTCAATTGAATTGATTTGTGGTTTTTCTAGTTTTCATTTTAAATATGTAATAATAATTGTAACTTTTAAAGAGGTTTCACTTTTTCAATTTTACAATTTTACAATTTTCCAGTTTTACAATTAATAGATTTTCAAACATTTTTATTTATTCGATTTTTCAATTTTTCTATTTTAAATGTAATTTGCAATTTCACGAGTTTTCAATTTTTAAATTTTCAAATTTTCGAATTTTCAATTTTCATGTCTTCAATTTTTCGATTTGCAATTTTCAATTTTTCATTTTTTTTCTTCAAATTTTAAATTCTGCAGTATTTCGATTTAAAATTTTTTGTGTTTTCAATTTTTAATTTTTCGATTTTTCGATTTTTTAATTTTTGATTTTTTCAAAATTTCGATTTGCAATTTTTCAATTCTTCAATTTTTCGTTTCGCAAGTTTTCAATTTTTTTTGTTGCTTCAGTTTTATAAATTTTTTTAGTTTTCCGATTTTCCAACATTTGGATGTTTAACAATTAGAGTTTGCAATTTTGCCATTTTAAATTTCCCGGATTTCTCAATCTTTAATTTTTTAATTCTTAGATTTTTCAAATTTTCATGTTTTCAATTTTTCGTTACAATTTTTTATTTTCTTCCTTTTCCAATTTTTGGATTTCAGTGCTGTTTTTATAATTTTTCTGCTTTTCAATTGAATTGATTTGTAGTTTTTCTAGTTTTCATTTTAAATATGTAATAATAATTATAACTTTTAAAGAGGTTTCACTGTTTCAATTTTACAATTTTACAATTTTCCAGTTTTACAATTAATAAATTAATAACATTTTCGTTTATTCGATTTTTCAATTTTTCTATTTTAAATTTAATTTGCAATTTGACGAGTTTGCACTTTTTCAAATTTTCGAACTTTTATTTTTCATGTCTTCAATTTTTCGATTTGCAATTTTTCTTTCCGGTTTTTTTTTTTTTTAATTTTTCAATTTTTCGGTTTTTCAATGTTCTGATTTTATAATTTTTCTTTTTTTAGTGTGAAATATTTCAATTTTTGGATTTTTCGATTTTTGGATTTTTTTGTTTTAGATTTTCCAGTTTCTCGATTTTTCAGATTTTCATTGCCTTATTTCTTATTTGCGATTCTTCTAGTTTTCATTTTAAATATGTAATAATAACCATAATGTTTTCTAATTTTTCCATTTTTCAATGACTGAATTTTAAAATTTTTCATTATTCGATTTTTAATTTTTCAATTTCTAGATATTTAATTTTTCAATGTTTCGATCTTTGGGTGTTATAGTTTTTCAAATATACAATTTTGACGATTCTATAATTTTTAGATTTTACAATATTTGGGTTTTCCAATTTTTCGATTCGATTCGTTTTTTCTTCTTTCCAATTTTTCGAATATTTGATTCAACGAATTTTTGATTTTTCGATATTTCAAGGTTCCGAATTTTCGACTTTTCGAATTGCAATTTTTTATTTCCCGCTTTTTCGATTTTCGACTTTTCAGCTTTCGATTATTAGGTTTTTCAATTTTTCAAATTTTCGAATTTTTATTTCGCGCTTTTTCAATTTTCTAATTTTCAATTTTCGATTATTCGGATTTTCAATTTTTCGATTTTTTGATTTTTGATCTTCCGATTTCTCGATTTTTCAAATTTCGATTTTTTCGAATTTTTGATTTTTTGTTTCCAATTTTTCTAATTTTCGATACTTTTAGTTTTCCGTTTATTCAGTTTTTTGATTTTCAACTTTTCAAATTTTTTGTTTTGTTTTCGATTTTTACAATTTTCAACTTTTCATTTATTTTTATTATCGATTTTTCGAATTTCGAATTTTCAGTTTTATTGATTTTATATTTTTTTCCGATTTTCCAATTTTGCCATTCTTCGGTATTTTTCAATTTTTTTACATTTCGAATTTTTGATTTCTCAAGTTATCGATTTTTCGATATCCAAATTCTTCCATTTTTTGAATCCCCGATTTTTCGATTTTCGATTATTATCGAATAACCAATTTTTTTCCTTATCGCTTTTTCAAATTTTCAGTTTTTCGATATTCGAATTTTCATTCTTCACACTTTTCGTCTTTTCTTCTTTCCATTTCGATTTTTCTTTCGAATCAAAAAAATGGAAAAATTGCAAAATTGCAAAAAAAAATGAAAAAACGAAAATGGATAGAATGAAAACTTCGAAAAATCAAAAATTTGAAAATGAAAAACTTGAAAATTTGAAGAAACGAAAAATTCAAAAATCGAAAGATTAAAATCCAAAAACTTGAAAGATCGAAAAAGTGCAAAATCGAAAAGAAGAAATATACTGTGAAATCGCAATATTGAAAATCAGGAATTAAATCCAAAAATTGCGAAACTGAAAAATTTAAAAATTTGAAAACCGAGAAAGAGAAAAATCTAAGATCGAAAATTGGACAAATTGAGCAAACGAAATTTTGTACAAGCAACAAAAACATTGAAACAGTAAAGGAAATGAAAAACGAAAAATTATAACACAAAATCGAGAAAATAAAAATTAAAAAATTGGGAAAATTAAAAACAGGAAACGAAAAATTGAAAAATCGAAAAAATTGTAACATCGAAAAATTGCAAAATTAATTTTTCACATCGAAAAACTGATGAAAAGAAAAACTGAAAAATTAAAAAGTTGGGAAGTCGACAAATTGGAAAACTAAAAAAATTTCAAGTTAAAAAAACGAAGAAAAATTATGAAATTGAAACATTGAAAAATGGAAAAGTTGAAAAATGAAAAACTGAGGAAACGAAAAATTGAAAAATCGAAAAATTGCAAAATTAATTTTTCAAATCGAAAAACTGAAGAAAAGAAAAACTGAAAAATTAAAAAGTTGGGAAGTCGAGACATTGGAAAGTTGAAAGATTAAAATAGAAAAAACAAAGAAAAATTATGAAACCGAAACATTGAAAAAGAAAATAAAATAAAAGAAGGAAAAATTGGGACACAAAATCAAAAAAATCGAAATTAAAAAATCGGGAAAATGAAAAATTGAGGCAACGAAAAAGTGAAAAATTCAAAAACTGTAAAGTCGAAAAATTGCAAAATTGAAAAAAAGAAAAACTAAAAAGTTGAGAAACTGAAAAAAATTAAAGTTGAAAAAACGAAGAAAAATTACGAAACCCAAACATTGAAAAATGGAAAAATTGAAAAATAAAAGAAAATAAAAAACGAAAAATTGTGACACAAAATCGAGTAAATGAAACTTAAAAAACCGGAAAAAAAATAAAAATTGAGGAAAGGAGAAATTCTAAAATAGAAAAATTGCAACCCGAACAATTAAAGAAAAACTGAAAAACAAAAAGTTGGAAATCGACAAATTGGAAAACTAAAAAAATTTTAAGTTGAAAAAACGAAGAAAAATTATGAAACTGAAACACTGAAAAATGGAAAAGTTGAAAAATAGAAGAAATGAAAAAATGAAAAATTGTGACACAAGATCGAGAAAATAAAAGTTAAAAAATCGAAAAAACGAAAAATTGTAATATCGAAAAATCGAAGAAAAGAAAAATTGAAAAACTAAAAATTTTGAAGTCGAAAAAACTGGAAAATTGAAAAGGTTATAGTGAAAAAAAACAAAAAAAAACGAACAATTATAAAACCGAAACATTGAAAGATTGAAAAATAAAAGAAAATAAAAAAACGAAAAATTGTGATACAAAATCGAGAAAATAAAAATTAAAAAATCGGGAAAATGAAAAACTGAGGAAACGAAAAATTTAAATATCGAAAAATTGTAATATCGAAAGATTCCAAAATTGAAAAAACGAAAAACTGAAAAACTAAAAAGTTCTGAAGTCGATAAATTGGAATACTGAAAACATTAAACTTGAAAAAACGAAGAAAAATTACAAAACCCAAAAAATGAACAATGGAAACACTGAAAAATAAAAGAAAACAAAAAAAAAACGAAAATTGTGACGCCAAATCGAGCAAATGATAATTAAAAAATTGGGAAAATGGAAAATTGAGGAAACGACAAAATGAAAAATCGAAAAATCATAACATCGAAAAATTACAAAATTGAAAAATTGCAAATCGAACAATTGAACAAAAAACTAAAAGTTCAGAAGTCGAAAAAGTGGAAAGTTGAAAAATTAAAATAAAAAAAACGAAGAAAAATTGTGAAACCGATATATTGAAAAATGGAAAAATTCAAAAATAAAAGAAAATAAAAAAACGAAAAATTGTGACACAAAATCGAAAAACATGAAAATTAAAAAATCGGGAAAATGGAAAATTGAGGAAACGAAAAGTCGAAAAAAAGATTGTAATATCGAAAAATTGCAAAACTGAAAAATTCCAAATCGAACAATTGAACTAAAAGTTCAGAGGTCGAAAAACTGGAAAGTTGAAAAAATTAAAATAGAAAAAACGAAGAAAAATTATGAAACCGAAACATTGAAAAATAAAAGAAAATAAAAAAACGAAAAATTGTGACAAAATCGAGTAAATGACAATTAAAAAATCGAAAAACTAAAGTTTGGATATCGACAAATTGGAAAACTAAAAAATTTTAAGTTGAAAAAACGAGGAAAAATTATGAAATTGAAACATTGAAAAATGGAAAAGTTGAAAAATAAAAGAAAATGAAAAAACGACGAATTGTGACACAAGATCGAGAAAATAAAAATTAAAAAATCGGGAAAATGAAAATTTGAGAAAACGAAAAATTGAAGAAAAGAAAAATTGAAAAAGTGAAAAGTTCTGAAGACGAAAACTGGAAAATTGAAAAAATTAAAGTTAAAAAAACGAAGGAAAATTATAAAACCGAAACATTGAAATATGGAAAAATAAAAGAAAATGAAGAAACGGAAAATTGTGACACAAAATCGAAAAAATTAAAATTAAAAAATCGGGAAAATGAAAAACTGAGGAAACGAAAAATTGAAAAACCGAAAGATTGCAAAATTGAAAAAACGAAAAAACTAAAAAGTTCGGAAGTCGAGAAATTGGAATACTGAAAATATTAAAGTTGAAAAAACGAAGAAAAGTTACGAAACCCGAACAATGAAAAATGGAAAAGTTGAAAAATTAAAGAAAATAAAAAAACAAAAAATTGTGACACAAAATCGAGTAAATGAAAATTAAAAAATCGAAAAAAAAATAAAAATTGAGGAAAGGAAACATTGCAAACCGAAAAATTGAAGAAAAGAAAAACTGAAAAACTAAAAAGTTTGGAAGTCCAGAAATAGGAAAATTTAAAAAATTTAAGTTGAAAAAACAAAGAAAAATTATGAAATTAAAACATTGAAAAATGGAAAAGTTGCAACATAAAAGAAAATGAAAAAACGAAAAATTGTGACAAAAGATCGAGAAGATAAAAATTTAAAAATCGGGAAAATGAAAATTTGAGAAAACGAAAAATTGTAATATCAAAAAATTGAAGAAAAGAAAAATTGATAAACTAAAAAGTTCTGAAGTCGAAAAACTGGAAAATTGAAAAAATTAAAGTAAAAAAAAAATATAAAACCGAAACATTGAAAGATTGAAAAATAAAACAAAATAAAAAAACGAAAAATTGTGACACAAAAACGAAAAAATGAAAATTAAGAAATCGGAAAAATGAAAAATTGAGGAGACGAAGAATTGAAAAACCGAAAGATTGTAATATCGAAAGATAGCAAAACTAAAAAACGAAAAACTGAAAAAAAAATTGTGTTATCGACAGAGGGCAATTGAAAAATTGAAGAAAAGAAAAACTAAAAAACTAAAAACTCGGAAGTTGATATATTGCAAAATTGAAAAAATTAAAGTCAAAAAACGAAGAAAGATTATGAAACCGTAAACACTGAAAAATAGAAAAATTAATAAAGAAAATGAGAAAACGAAAAATAGTCATATCAAAAAATTGTGAAATTGAAGAACGAGGTAAAGCGAAAAATTTGTCTAAGGTCCAAATTTTTCGAAACATTTAAGAAGTAAGATGTAATTTTTGCGAGTTTTACTTTTGTTTCAAGTTTTGTTGTAAATTTTTGACATGACAGCATTGCATTGGTGGTGGGAATAATTAGTCAAATTTTGGTGTCTAATAAAAATTGATACAGACGACAGACAGACGGAAATGGGAGACCACTTTTTTCGGACTCTAGAGATCATGAAATTTATTAATAAAAAAAAAAGTGGAATCTACTTTTTTGTTTATATTATTATTATTATTTGCGATGGTAGCTTTTGAGTGAAACTCATCGTTGCCAAGTTGACGGCCCCAAACTACAAAACCTGCGTCAGACGCAGCCTTAATTGAGCACGATCTAACGCTAATCCGATTATCCGCAAGATGAATCAAAGACGCTCTGAATACCTGTGCCACGGCGTTTTTATTCCGCAACATCGACTGGTAGAACTCGAAGCCCAAACCGCGAGGATCTGGCACGTAATCAAGACTTTTCTCGGTAATAATGCGCGATTTCTCTCTGGGTGTTACTGGAAACCGTAATTTTGCATGTAGATCCTGCGGAAAAGAAAATTAGAGGCTCACGTTTGGAAGGATCCATTTTCGCACGACAATTTGGAATTAAAACACTGAATTTTGGGGTGGTTCCGGGTGGAGGCGTTCAAGCCGTCATAATGACAACAGCGAATTTGTCGGGGTTTTGTTGCTACGGATCGATGGGTCAGGTGGTGACGGGCGGTCAACAATATTTCTAGACATCTCGGCAGACGTGCTCGTGTTCTCTTTTTTTTTTATAAATTGTTGAACGGTTTAGCGCGGGTTCGTAATTGAAGTTTTTTATGCTTTTGCAGAGTCGTGGAGCTAAAACAGGAATAGCGTAACATAAAAGCTCATCTTTTACATGAATAATTTCAAAACATGAATGTATCAGAGAACATCAAGATTAATAACCAGTGTTGCGAATAAATGAGTTGATGGATCTTTTGTGCACGTGCAAATGCGTTATTCGCAGAATATCGATAACTGGATCTACTTTTTTTAATAACGCGTTATCGACGCTTCCGAAATAAAACACGAAAATTTACAGTGTACAACAACAGCGTTGCAATTTAAAACATAAATTTGAATTAGACACTAAAGTGCTAAATTTTCTTTGGAAAGAATTTCAAGTAATTTAAAAATGGATGTAAAAATCTGAAAATTTGCTAAGGACGTAGAAAGCTTAAAGAATCGAATCCTTCAAACCGCAATATAGTGCCGTTTTGGGGTTATGTCCTGTTAAATTTGAAAAAAGCCAAAAATATACACATAGGTAATATATTCACTTTTCCCTACCAAATTAATCTAGTATCCGGTCTGAAAACTTGCTCATAGAACTAGAAACGTTCAAGGAGTGGAACGCTTCAAACCGCAGATTTTTGAAAAAAATATCAAAACTGTATAATAAGATTTTCCTATTTTTCGATTTTTCAAATATTTAATGTAATGTAATCTTTATTAACGATTAATATACATTCACATAGATTTATATATAAGCACATAAAATTACTTATAAATGTACAAATACATATTACAAAGAAAAACAAAGAATTTTCGATTTTTCGATATTTCAAATTTTCGAATTTTCGGCTTTCCAAATTGCAACTTTTTTTCCATTTTGCGGTTTTTCATATTTTCAAATTTGGGATTCCTCGCTTTTTCGATTTTCGATTAGTCGGTTTTTTATTTTTTCTGACAGTTTTCAATTTCTCAATTTTTGATATTTGATTCCCAATTTCTCTAATTTCCAGATTTTTGGTTTTCCGATTATTCAATTTTTTGATTTTCCATTTAGAATATTTGATTCATGGAATTTTCGATTTTTCAAATTTTTCGAATTTCCATTTTTCGATTTTTCGATATATTTAGTATTTACTTTACGATTTTTCGATATCTCGAATTTTGGTTATATCAATTCTCAATTTTTGGGAAGTTTCAGTGTTAAATTTTTTTATTTTTTCTTTTTTTTTCTATACCTACAATCTTCGATTTTTCGATTAATTTGATTTTCGATTTTAAAATTTTTCCACTCCTCGGTTTTAGACTTTTCTTTTGATTTCTCGCTTTTTCGATTTTTTCGGTGTTTCAATTCTTCGATGTGCCGATTTTTCAAATTATCGATTTTTGGAACTTTCCATTTTTCAATTTTCGACTGCTTGATTTTCGATTTTTCGATTTTCAATTTTGCTAATTTTCGAATTTTTGACTTTCTGACTATACAATTTTTTGAAATTTCGAATATTTGATTAATAGAATTTTCGTTTCTCCGAATTTCCGATTTTTCATTCGTAATTTTTACTTTATGGATTTTTCAAATTTTCGACTCTCAATTTTCTTCCATTTTCCGATTTTTCTATATTCACCTTATCAATTTTTCGATCTTCCAATATTCGAGTTTTAAATTTTCTTGGTTTTATATGTTTGGATTTTTCAGTTTTCCAACCTTCGGTTTTCAGATTTTTCAATTTTTTTACCTTTCGATTTGTCGCATTTTTGATTTTTCAAATTTTCGATTTTTCGATACTCAAATTTCCCATCTTTTTACTTTTCGATTTTTCAATTTTCCGATTTCGACTTTTTCATTTTCGATTTTTGGAATTTTCGATACTAGAATTTTTGAATTATCGTGTGTCTAATTTTTCGATTTTTCGATATCCAAGTTTTCACTTTTTGTACTTTTGGATTTTGCCATTTCTCCATTTTTTTTTTTCTATTTTGGCAATGTTTTATTTTTAAGTTCTCGATTTTTCGACATTCAAACTTTCAGATTTTTGACTCCAATTTTGGATTTTTTGAATTTTTGATATTCGAGTTTCCATTTTTTTAATTTTCGTTTTGGATTTTTAGGTGTACGATTTTTTCAATTTTTCAGTTTTTGCATGCTTCATTTTTTACATTTCAATTCTTTAACTTTTTGACTTTTCGAATTTTGAATTTTCGATTTCCGATTTATGAATCTTTTGAATTCTTGATTTTACTATCTTTCTATTTTTCAGTTTCTAAACTTCTCAATCTTTTTACTTTTTAATTTTTCGATTTTCGAGTTTTTAGTTTTTCACGTTTTCAATTTATTTTAGGTGTCAATTTTTCGATATTGCGAGTTTTCGAAGTTTTTAATATTCCATTTTTCGAGTATCAAATTTTCAAACTTTTCGATTTTTCGACTTTCAGAAACATTTTTCGATTTTTCGACTTTCAGAAACATTTTTCAATTTTCGGTTTTCGGATTTTCGATCTTCCGTTCTTTGATTTTTCGAACTGTCCAATTTTCAATTTTTTTCATTCTTCAGATTTGAGGCTTTTCAGTTTTTTACCTTTTGATTTTTTGATTTTTCAGTTTTAAGTTATTTCAACATATCGAAGATTTTTTCCAATTTTTACTTCTTGATTTTCGGCTTTTGGAATTATCAATACTCTCGTGTGTTCAATTTTTCAAATTTTCGATTTTTCGATATCGCAGTTTTCATTTTTTACTTTTAGATTTTTCGATTTCTCTATTTTTCGATTTTCCGGAAGATTGTTTTATTTTTCCAATTTTTTGCTTTCGATTTTTCGATTTTTTGAATTTTCCTTCTTTGAGTTTTCGATGTTTCCATTTTTAAATTTTCAAATTTTTGACTCCAATTTTCGATTTTTTGAATTCTTGATATTCGAGTTTCCATTTTTTTACTTTTCGATTTTTCGCTCTCTAGAATTTCTATTTTTGGATTTTTCGGTTTTTGATTTTTAGATGTAGGTACGAGTTATTTAGATTTTCAATTTTTACATTCTTCATTTCTTAGACTTCCATTTTTTTACTTTTCGATTTTTGATTTTTCGAATTTTCGACCTTTCATTTTTTCCATTGATCAGTTTCTAGAGTTTTAATTTTTTTGCTTTTCGATTTTTCGATTTTTGATTTTTCGAATTTCGATTTTTGAATTTTTTGAATTCGCGATTTTACTATTTTTTCATTTTTCAGTTTCTAAACTTCTCAATTTTTTTACTTTTTAATTTTTCGATTTTCGAGTTTTCAGCTTTTCAATTTTTCAATTATTTTCACGTATCGATTTTTTGATGTTGCGAGTTTTCGATTTTTTTATTATTCCATTGTTCGATTACCGAATTTTCAAACTTTCCGTTTTTTCAATCACATGAATTCTCAATTTTTCGATTTTTCGACTTTCAGAAACATTTTTCGATTTTCGGTTTTCTGATTTTCGATTTTCCGTTTTTTGATTTTTCGAACTGTCTATTTTTCAATTTTTTTCATTCTTCAGATTTTAGGCTTTTAAATTTTTTACTTTTTGATTTTTCGATTTTTCAGTTTTCCATTCTACAGTTTTTCGATTTATCGATTTTTCGATTTTCCGAATTTTCGTTTTTTCGATTTTCTTGTTCGACGTATAGATTTCCCGCGTTTTTGATTTTTCGAATTTTCGAATTTCCCATCCTTTTACTTTTAAATTTTTCGATTTTCCGATTTTTCAGTTTTTCGCTTTTTCAACATTCCGAAACATTTTTCTGTTTTTCCGTTATTTTACTTTTCGATTTTCGATTTTTGGAGTTTTGGATATTCGAATTTTCAGTTTTTTTACTTTTCAAATTACTGAATTCTCGTGTGTTCGATTTTTCAAATGTTTGATTTTTCGATATCCGAATTTTCAATTTTTTTACTTTTAGATTTGGCGATTTCTCTATTTTTCGACTTTTCGGAAGATTTTCCTATTTTTCCGATTTTTGGAATCAAAAAATAGGAAATCCAAAGAAGGAAAATTCTAAAAATCGAAAAACCGGAATTTTTGACTCTCCGATTTTCGATTTTTATGATATACGAATTTCCATTTTTTTTACTTTTCGATTTTTCGCTCTATAGAATTTCGATTTTTGATTTTTCGAATTTTTGGACATTTCATTTTTTCTATTCTTCAGTTTTTAAATTTTCGATTTTCGATTTTTTGAATTTTCGATTTTACAATTTTTCCATAGTTCAGTTTCTAAACTTCTCAAATTTTTTACTTTTCGATTTTTCGCGTTAAAAATTTTTTTTTATTTGAATTTTCAATTTTTTACTTTTCGATTTTCGAGTTTTCACTTTTTCAAATTTTCATTTTTTACGTATCGATTTTTCGATTTTTTGAGTTACCGAAACATTTTTCGATTTCTTGATTTTTCGATTTTCGGTTTTCCGATTTTCCATTTTTCGATGTTTGATATTATTTTCAAATTGTCTATTTTTCAATTTGTTTCATCTTCCGTTTTTAGGCTTTTCAATTCTTTACTTTTTTTCAATTTCTCAATTTCTCAATGCATCAGTTTTCGATTTTTCGATTTCCCGATTTTTCAGTCTTGCGATTTATTTAGAGTTTTCGATTTTTCAATTTTTCCATTTCTCAGTTTTTAGACTTCAATTTTTTTAGTTTCGATTTCTTTATTTTTCGATATTCGATTTTTTTTGAAGTTTCAATATTTGAATTTCCAAATTTTTGTTTTTAAATTTTTCGTTTTTCTAATTCTCGATTTTCGGTTTTTCGAATTTTTTGTTTTTCAATTTTTTCACTTTTAATTTTTTTACAGAAAAATCGGGAATCTTGATTTTTTGTTTTTTCATTTTTCAGTTTTCCTATTTTTTAAGTTAACTTTTTCCATTCTCCAATTACTCGAATTTAATTTTTTAACTTTTCGATTTTTACACCCTTCGATTTTTCGATTTTTCGATTTTAGATTTTTCTATTTTTTGACTTTCTGGAAGATTTTCCCATTTTTCCGATTTTTTGTTTTCGATTTTTCGATTTATAGAATTTTCCTTCTTTGGAATTTCGATTTTTCGATTTCAAATTTTCAAATTTTTTACTCTCCAATTTCGTTTTTTTGAATTTTTGATATTCGAATTTCCTTTTTTTTTTAATTTTCGATTTTTCGGTTTTTGGTTTTTAAATGTATGATTTTCCAATTTTTCAATTTTTTCATTCTTCATTTTTTAGACTTCCATTCAATTTTTCAGTTTTCCATTTTACAGTTTCTCGATTTTTCAGTTTATTACTTTTCGAT